TTTAATAAAATCATCACTTTTTTAAATCTACTATGTGCAATTTTTTATCTACCCTGTGTAACGCGGAATCCTGTATATGCCGGAAAATCGGTGCACCACCGTGCGATTCCGTTTTACACAGGTTTCACTGTAATATACCTTTCCAAAACACTGAAAGATTTTTATCTATAAGGACCTTCCAATGTTTAGTCGATGCTCTTGTATAATTAGAAAAAAGCTTGTAATTTCTAAAGCTGCTTTTGCAGCGTCATTAATTACTAAATTTAAACTATGGGCCGCAGGTGGCACATAAAAATCTCGAAGGTTTAAGTCAAGAACTTTTTTTTGAACCATTTGCGACCATTCATATTCGCACCATTACCATAACCCTGTCCTTTTAAATCCCCTAAACAAATATTGAGAGTCTCCAAAAAATCTAATATGATATTGAAATAAATCCCAAAAAATGCTCCCTAATTTCTATTTGCTTTGATTTATTATTTAATATAACAAATCTTACTATAATAAGTAGTTAAATGTCTCCAATCGTTATATCCTTTCTCAACAAAGGAACTAGAAAAACTTTTAAATAATTTGCAAGGAAAGCAAAATACACAATATTTTAATTTAGAGTGCACTAGCCAAACTCTTGAAATTATTATTTCCCCGTTGCTTAATTTTGTTTATAATAAATAGATGAGAAACCTCTGTTCTTTATTTAAAGTTGGGTAGGGTCTCACACTACTAAAGTTAACTTAATTTAGTTCAACATTATAGAAGTCCAAAGCTAGGATCCTTATAAACATCATCTTTAACATGAAAAAATCTTCAGAACTTACTTCTTCCAGCCAACTCCGCTCCTCTGAGGCGTCTTTGCTAACGGTTTTACTGGTTTCAGGACTTACTTCTGGGATTAAAAATGTTTTTACCGAACCACAAGCCTTCTTTACTAGATCTTTTTTTTCAAGTTTTCTTTTTCTGTAATGGGCCACAGAAAGCTTTTTTCGATTATCAGAGCATGGAATTTGCAATGAAATCAAAATAAACAAAAGGAGATCACTTTATGACACTCAATAAATTCTCCCAGCACTAAATCTTCTTCTCTTGTTTATTCTCCTTGGGCTAGGATGAATCACCATACTATATCTGCCAACGTGGCAACGCTGGTATTTTCCCACAAAATGCTGGGTATGTAGGCCGAGGCCACAAATGTGTGATTGGCCCCTTAAGTGATCTCCTTTTGTTTATTTTCATTTCATCGTACTGATGAAGACCAACAGTCAGAAACACGTTTACGGTTTATCTTTTGGCTTTTTTATCTTTCTATTTACGGGATGTGCCCAATACTCCTTTTCTCTTGTTATAGGAACCAAATTATAGGAACTTGTTATTTTTATATGGTTATGTCTGAATCCGGGAGTTTGTCCACATATTCTAGAACATCATGTATAGGTACTCGTATTATTCTAAATAATAAATGTAAATGTATATTAGGTGTATGAAGTGTTACCTAATCGGAGGTAGAACTTATTTGTTGCCAAAAAGGCATATGATTTTCTTCAGCAATATGAATCCAGTATATTTCTGATGATTGTTGAACAAGATTCCAAATAACCGCCATTAATACCATCTCTAAAGTAGCCATTTTTTTAACAAAGTTTTGCGTCTCATTCACTGTTGTTGTTTACAAACTTTCACAATTTAAGATATTTTTTAGAATAGTACGTGTGTATATTGCATAATGGACGTGTAGTTTTGACAGCCTCATATCGTGCTGATCATCTTGACTGCGATAGTATTTTTATAGAAATATTACTTTCCAGAGAACTTAACTCAGACCAGTTGAGAAGAGGATGCAAAAATTAGAGTTTCTAAGAAGCTTTCTACTGCAGCTTTGCCCGCTAAGTTGAGGCTGAGCTCCACATGGTACCCAAGTTGCTACATTATTCATTTTTTTGAATTTAGTACACTTCGCTCATATTATAGTCTATTTTTATGTATGAGAGAGTAATAAAACAGCATTTCTAATGCAAAACTTAGTACGGCCATTTTAAATATTTTTACAGAATAATCTAAATATTGTAATAAATGTACCTGAGCTATTACAAGTTTTGGGTCTTTTATTGGTCCTTTATAAACATAAGCTGTACAGAACAATAGAAAAAGGTTTGGACAGGCCAAAAGCCCTGTGTATTAAAGATTACATAGCCGTATCTTAAGATTATTTTCAATAAGTACCTATTTGCCAATTTTGTTTTATTTTAATTCTAAGAATTTCTTACAGTAATCGAATTATAAATAGATAAATACCTTCCCAACAAATTTCACCAAAAATGCGATTATAGGTTTTCCATTTAGTAAGTTTTCCAAGTTGTGTATTCTTGACAGTTTACTAAATGTCGTTTAGTAGCAACTTGCAAGGTGCAATGTGAATTCTAGTGTTATCATGGAAAATTTGGAAGGGCCGCGTAAACGACAAAAAATCGGTCCTTTAACAGTTAATGAAAAAACATTAATATTTAATTGTTTTAAATCATTTACAGACAAACATTTATATAAATGTGTTGATGACATAGTGGAATTAGTTAGTAGTACGCTTGGTGTTGAGAAATCTACGATTTACAGAGTTGTTAAAGAGGAGAAATGTGGCGAGTTTCAAACAGCACGTAAAGCTCCAGGAAAATCAACATTTCAATTAGAAAATCTTTTGAAAGAAAGACTTCGAAGGAAAGTGCATGCGTTCTTCTTTAGAAAAGAATTTCCGACAGTAGACAAAGTTCTTGCCACGGTTCGAGATGATAAGGATTACCCTGAAATGAGTCGAACCACACTATGGAAACTTTAAATGAAATAGGTTTTCTATGGAAAAAGCATTCCAGAAAGTCTATTTTAATAGAAAGAAGCGATATTGTAGCATGGAGAAGAAATTACCTAAGGACTATAAAAGAAATGAGAAACCAAAGAAGAAATATATTTTATTTAGATGAAACATGGATCAACGAGGGACATAAACCAAATAAATTTTGGCAAGATGAAACTGTTACAAGTCGAAGACAGGCTTTTTTAAATAATTTATCTACTGGTTTAAATCCACCATCAGGAAAGGGGCGCAGACTAATAATAGTACACATCGGTAGTTCAAACGGTTTTGTTAAAGGTGGTTCATTGACTTTTGAATCTACTCGTACCGGTCACTACCATGAGGACATGAATGCTGATGTCTTTAAAGAGTGGTTCGAACAAATTATAGATCTTCTTCCTCAGAACTGCATAATACTAATGGATAATGCAAGTTATCACTCGAGACTTATAGAAAAAATGCCCACAACCAAGTGGTTAAAAAAAGATTTACAGAATTGGCTAAATTCAAAGAATATTAAGTTCCATCCCGGTTCTGTGAGAAAAGAACTGTATCATTTGATATTAAAAAAATATGAAATTGATGAAATTGCAAAAAATCGTGGGATGACGGTGGTTAGATCACCACCATATCATTGCGAAGTAAACCCGATTGAACTGATATGGGCACAGATAAAGGGAGAAGTTTCAAGAAAAAATAATTCTTTTAAAATGAGTGATGTTAAACAGTTGTTTTTGGAGGCTGTAAATGATGTGAAGCCTGAAAATTGGGAAAAGGCAGTAAATCATACGATTAAAGAAGAAGAGAAAATGTGGAAGTTGGACAATATTACTGATGAAATGATCGAGCCACTCATTGTAAATATTGGTTGCGACAGTTCATCTTCTGATTTCGATTCTGATTTGGATTTGTAGGTAAGAAGTAGTTTTAATATTAAAATTATTATTTATGAACGTAACGTTGTTTAAAAGTCCAAGTTTAAACCCTTATACCTACATAACCCGTTTGACACAACGTTCTTAACATACCTTGTGGAAAAATAAAACATATTAGAAAAAATTTCACTTTTTTACCTTCAGCTGTTTAGAAGTTATAAGCAGGTTAATTAGGTGAAAATATAAGTGTATACTCGAGGAATAACTTCAAAAAATATTATAACTGTCTACTAAAAGAAGTGGTACGCCTATGGATTACGAACGCTTTATTATTTTAATACTCTCTCATACATAAAATAGCTGCATTGTCTTACGACTGACATCTGCAAAACTTTGGATTTATTCCATAATTTTCCAATATTGAAATTGTAGTGTCGAAACGATATTTGGCATCGTGAATTTGAATATGAAAAAAAAAACGTAAAAAAAACAAAAAAATCGTTCATGTACATCACCACTTTCTGAGAAGTACCTTATAACTACTGACTAATGTGTAGAATCCATAGAGAATCCATAGTGATCCCAGACATTCTCGATTTAATCTCTAATATACGCCTTGCTAATGAACCCTAATAAATAAGGATGAAAATCGGTTCAAGAATCAAGTTCACCTTAGCAAGCAAAATCAAAGTTAGAGTCTTGAAATTAAATTTCTGTCCCTTAGCTATTTTATTCTAATTTATTTTACGTTTCGGTCATATTCGAGTTAGGAATCATTTTTATTTTGTTTTAAATACACTTGCATGCATAGAAATCGGCCCACTGTAATTTTTTTTAATTATTAATTAGATCATTTGACATTTGACATTTGACATTTGACATTTGACATTTGACATTTGACATTTGACATTTGACATTTGACATTTGACATTTGACATTTGACATTTGACATTTGACATTTGACATTTGACATTTGACATTTGACATTTGACATTTGACATTTGACATTTGACATTTGACATTTGACATTTGACATTTGACATTTGACATTTGACATTTGACATTTGACATTTGACATTTGACATTTGACATTTGCCATTTGCCATTTGCCATTTGCCATTTGCCATTTGACATTTGACATTTGACATTTTTGCCAAAACGTTTGTTTAATTTTCCTCTAAACTGCCCTCATATTCGATCTACCTATAAAACTAGTTTAAATCAGTCTTTTTAAACATTCTTCTTTGAAATCGATAAATTAATTTTGAATATATATTAATTTTCAGACGATCTTTTCTCATTGGCTTGATCAGCAACAAAACCAGATCCGCCGTGCAAAAATTGGGCGAAATTTCTAATTTCGGTGCCGAAAAAATAGGCAATTTCAGTGCGGCCGTTGTCAAGCCCATTTCCTCGAACGCTGCTGGAGGAATCGGAAAATTAGGAGATAAAACCGGAAATGCTTTAGAAGTTGTTGGAAATAGAACTGCCCATGTGGCCGGGAAATCTGTGCAGGCTGTGGAAACTGTCGCTGAAAAGGCGATAAATTTTACTTTTAGCGACATTGAAATACGTAAGTAGGTACTTAATTAGGTGACGTGTTAAATATAGTGTCAAATAATAGCTATTTATGAAACCAGTTACGAAATGCCTTATTTTATGTTACGAGGGAATATTTGCGGAACGAGCAGAGCGAGGTCCCGCAACATGAACGAGTTACATAAAACGGCATTTCGTAACGTGTTCAATACAATATTTTTTCTAATTTTGACTAGATTATTTATAAAATTGTGTTTTGGTAAAAAATTTACTGACATCTAGGCTCTTGTATTGACCAACACCTTTATTGCGCTTCGAAGGTTCCGCCATGACAGGCGTTGCCTTCTCTACAGTTCCTTGCAACCACCTTACTCTTATGGTTTCACTACTTTCAGGTAACACCGTTCCTTCCTGTACAGCCACCGGCACGGTTTTTCGATTCGTAGTGTTCTTTGGACGTTTGCGCGAACTGCTTACTTTTCCCATTTCACAGCAATTCCAGCATCTGATAGTCTTCGGTTGCTTCTCAATAAGGGTTTTTACCATGTTAAACAATTGGTCCAATTTATTTCCCTGTTCTTCTCCTTTTACAGTCCTTACTTCACTGTATCCACCACAAGCCAGCGTAGCCGCTTCATATTCAAGAGCAGCGGACAAGACATCGACCAAAGTTTTGTGACGGGCTAGACGAAGTGTTCTTTGCATCTCGTGGTCACAGAGTCCATCAACAAATGTTTGGACTGCCAAACATTTCATCATATTTTCCGGAGCTGATGGATAGGCAAATCGCACCAACCTGGCAATATCTACTTCATATTCCTGAAGAGTCTCGTCTCGTTTCTGTTTACGATTCTTCAATTGTGACTGGTATAAATGCTCCAAGTGTTCGTATCCATATCGCATATTTAGTCTCTTTTTGAGTTGTTCAAAATCATCTTCCACGGGTATAGTCTGAAGGACATCCAAAGCGTCTCCTCGAAGGGCGATGGTCAAATTTATTGCCTTCTCTCGTTCAGACCACTCGTTTGCTCTGGCAGCTGTTTCGAACTGCTTAAGGTAGTTCGTCTAAGATATCTTCCCGTCAAAAGTTGGGGCTTTAACACGAGGAGAGTTTACAGCTCCTTCCAATTTCAACTTCGACTCCAACTCATGGCACTTAATTTCACCGTCCTTGGTCGGGTCTAAATGTTCCAGTTCTTCTATCTTCTTTTCCATTTCTTTTTTCTCCTCAACGGAAGACATTATTTTATTCTCAACGGAAGAGATCTTATTATCCATAGAAAAAAATTCGTTTTTCATAGAAGACATTTCGGAAGACACTTTTTCTTCTAAAGAAGAAATATTAGACGAACATTTATTTTCCATAGAAGATATTTTGTTTTCCAAGTCGAAAGAAATTTCATCTTTTAAAGAGGAGATATCAGAAGAAACTTTAGTTTCTAAAGAAGTGATTTCATTTTTCACGAAAGCAACATCAGAAGACACTTTTTCTTCTAAGGAAGAAATGTCTGAAGAAACTTTATTTTCCATGGAATAAACTTTAGTTTCCAATGAAGAAATGGCAGAAGAAATATCAGTTTTTAAAGTAGAAATTTTACTTTACATATCGGAAGAAATTATAGCAGACGCATCATCCGAAAATAGAAACGTTTCCGGATCCAAACTTTCATTTTCTAGTGCTTTTTTAAGTCGTTCTGCCAGCTCTGATTTCTTCCCTGTCGTCTCCAGTTCACGTTCTTCTAATTCTCGACGTAGCTCAGGCACTTTTAAATCATAAAGTCTTTTAGCCATGATTGTCCACTATTTATTTACACTATTCCACTTCTCGACACCAATGTGATGTTTGTTTATTTTTAATACTGTGATTCTAATTTATATATATTTCGAATGTCTTTAAACTGTTCGCTATTTATATTGACCACTGTCTATCTACTAATGACTTTTTGGTGATCCTCCACCAATATTTATATATAAATTGGTGATCTAGAATGCTTCTCCACCAAAATATCCGGAATATACCAGAAACGTTATCACGATGACTCAGGAATGTTCGCGAAAGTGCCTCTGCCATAGTCGTCACATATGTTTGGTCTTAAGGGGTTTAATTATGTATAATAATCGGACAAATTGAGCCTCAAAGGCCAAATAAGACAGAGATGGACTTAGAGGATTAGAGGATGACTGAATGATGAAATGGCTCACATTACATTGCCCCCTCCTTAAGAGATAGTTCCTCCTGGAACTCTTACGAAACTAAACTGGAATGGTTGTACCTGCAACTGAATCCTCTTTTACAATTTCCAGTTGCATGGAAGATGACTAGTTACAGAAGTATCTTGCCATATCTTAGATACCGTGTGTCCAGCATTCACCCACGTTTCAGAGATAGTATATCTTTTTTTAGCGGCTCTAAACTCTTTAATATGTCGTAAATAACGCCGTCGCCAGGACACTATAACTGACCTCTCAATTAAAATTGATTTCCTACACCGTTTGACGAAACAAAATTTTAGGCCTAATAATTTTTTTCTAAAGTTTCACGGCTCATTAATGGAATTTCTTCGTTTTCTTTTAATTTCGTAAGAACAACTTTAAGTGTTGGGGCTTTGTTTTTTTTTTTTTTTAAATGTACAGTTCTTCGAATGATTTGTTTTTGGTTATCGTCCGATTTCAACAATTTTCGACTATGGGTATGTATTTTAGGGGCTTCTAAGGAGCCTTTTTTTTGTCTTTTCGCGTACAATACGTTCAATTGTTGAAACAGATACTCCAGTTAAAAAAGAACTGCGGTTTACAGCTTCATTTGTAGGAAGTGTCTGTTTCAGCCCATCATACACTTTCCATATAATGTTCTTTTCATCCTTTGATAAGGGCTTTCGCCGACGTAATTGGGTTTCACTTGGACCCGCCTCTGAATCCATTAGTATTGTAACAATATAATTCTACTATTAAATTGTTTTTATTAAATTTATAAAGACACCAATATTTTACTATTTAATAAACTTTTAAACTACCTACCTATTATACTACACAATAAATATAACTCCTCGAATATGCACTATCACTACCAAATTGTAAGGCACGAACATGAACACCTACTCGTATATTAGAAAAGAGCACTTATACAAAAAAGTGTTTATAAAATATAAAATAATTATCGTAAATAGTTAAAGCGATACAAATCTAACTTCGTCGAAAGTTTGTTTTCAACTGTCTTTGTGCCTCTGCTGACAATATTCAATCTGTAATCCGTCTGTCATTTATTTACTTGAAACACATTTTAAAACCATTAAATACAGATAACGAAGTCATTAGGGAATAAATAATTCATTTCTTGAAAACTATCAAAAACGTATATTTAACGCATCTTCTATGTTTAAATAAAGATTTTGACAAACAAATTTAATAAAGTTTACTAACAAATACCTAATAAATTATAAATAATTATTTGGTATTTGATACACCGCCTATGCTATCTCTGTCGGAATTTTCATTCATAGACAACAGTGTTGATCATGCATATGACTAACCTTCTCCAATATTTTGTCCGAGTATAGCTAGTCGGTATCAGGATCGTACAGTAAACGCCAAATCTAAAGAACCAAGGACGCGCATTTATAAAGCTACGAACACGCCTACCGATGAATATAATTGGTAATAGTGAATGATGCTTCTTCATACATATTGCTTAGTGTTATTATTAGTACATAATTCTATAGTCAATTAAAAAATCATTATTTTTAGGTAAGCCGACTTTAAGTTAAGGACAGGCTCTGGTGGTCTAGTATTTTGTATTTTAACTGACATTAATGTTTTTATAAACAAAATATGAAATAATATGTGTATGAAGTAATATATCCTTTCGATTTTTTATACCGGGTCTTCATTTCAAAACTTGATAGTCCAAATAACTTCTGATTTTACGTAAATTTAAGAAAAACAAAAACATGTTTAATTTTATATTATATAGCCTATAAGTAAATACAAACAATGTAAACAGTAAATCACAAATAAATAATGTTCATATGTCTTCGTCAGATTCTTCGTGGGAAGAAGACTCGCCACTGTCGTCACTGGAATCATCATTAGGATTAATGACGACAGGATTAATTTCCGAACATAAATCAGTTTGTATTTCTCTTTCAAAATATTTATCTTCTACCTTCATAACATGATCGCATCGCTTTTTCCATTCCTCCATACCGATTTTGTTAAATTCTTCTTCTGCTAATTGTTTTACGTCTTCTAATTTAAAGGTACATTTCTTTGACTGACATTATTCTTAACAGTTTCCCAAATGAATTCGATAGGGTTCAAGTCGGGTGATATGGGGTAACCGTAAAGCGGTGTGGCCGTATTCTCGACACAACTCATCAAATGCATATGTTACATGTCGGTCCGTATGAGATTTAATCAGTTCATATAACTCTGGTTTCAAACTTGTTTTCCATTGACTGTTTACCTTCCTTCAAAATTCTTTTAACGGTACTATAAGAAACATCTGTAAAAACGTAATATATTAATGTTAAATTTAGTATTTTTTTACATTTATTAGGAAACAAAAATCTTTAGAAACAGAAGATAAATTTAAAAAAATTAAATATAAAATATTAATCAAAAATAAAATGCATAGATATGTGTGTAAAATACAAAAAAATATGGAAAACTACGCAAGTTTAATTGCAAATAAACTACAGAATATGTTTACCTGTTGCTTGTGCAGTTTGAAGTTTGATATCATCTAAAGTATCTCCATCAGACATATTCTTGAATTCATCAAGAAAATCAATCTGATGGAATAGAAACTGTGAGGGGTACAATAAGTCTAGAGCTTCAGTACAAGTGGGCTTTGAACCACCCCCTAATTGAGATAGATAGATAGAACTGCTTTTTTGTTACGTCAAAATATTTAAAAACATTGTATATTACTTCACGACTTTGTCCGCTTTTTTTCACCCACAATAGAAGACATTATCAAAAATAAAACCAGTAATTTTAACCAAAACACCGAAACAAGAAACAAACAATGATCTA